ACGGCGTGAAGACTGGCCACATGACTGCGCGTGGGCTGTGTCGCCTGAAGGGACCCACCTGGATGAAGTCAATGCCAGCCGCCTCAAAGGCCGTCTTTGTGCTGAAAACGGGCAAATCACCTTGGTAGAAGAAATCTTCCAGCTGACCGACGTACGTCTGCAAGTCGATGAACGACCCCAGTGGGCGACGTTCATGATTCTCAAACGGGACGCTAAACATCCGCAAAATGCAGGCGTGCTCAATTCCCTCCGTTTGGGCGTCGGCATTCGGACCAGCTGCCGGAAGACTTAACGTGAGTTGAAACATATCCCCAGGAAGGACAGTGTGCCGATCCAGAAGCCTGGTGGGTAACTTGCCCTTTACTAGTGTTGGAGTGGAACAAAGCCTAAAACCGCCAATCTTAACGTAATCAGCGATGATTTCGGGAACTTCATTGTTACTGCCTTGGTGGTAAACATAGACAACCGCCCTGCGAGTCGGTCCAAGACTGGAGTTCATTTCAAAAACAGCTTCGTATTTGAAGACAGTCCGCCGAACTCCGGGGCTTGTTTCAGATGGCGTCGGCAGTGGCAGTGGGGAAGCTGTACTGAGGGGCAAATTCTCATTCTCAATATTGAAGTTGAATGCACTGAGTGGCATCATGTCACCGAGGGTGTCGTACAGAACATGTGGCTGGTCACACAGATAACCAGTGAAACCCTCTCTGCAGACACAGTCGTTGCCATGCTTGCAGTCCCCATGCAGACAACCCTTTCGGGGTTCGCAAATTTCACAGTTTTCGCCATGCCAACCATCCCGACAGGAGCACACACCCGGTGTTACACAGAGTCCGCCCACACCACAGTCCTTGTCCGAACAATCCGGCGTCATACAGTTGTCCCCTGTCCAACCGGACAGACAGGTGATTTCCCCGACCTCACCGGGCTTGAAGGCAGCATTGCAGGTGTAATGGCCCAGAGGTCCGTCCTGCCCCGAGCAGGCTTGACCACTGCTCAGAGTGGACCGAAGGGTTGCGGAAATCCGCCGCGGTGCCCCCTGTGACAGGTAAAACATGAAGATATCCTTTTCATCCAGTGGTGCGTTAACTAGGAGCGACAGCTTCACAGAGCCAGAACAGGCTTTGCTGGTGTCGTACGTGGTTTTCTCTACAGCTAACGCCAGTGGCGACCTCGACTGCCAATGTCTGATTTGCTCGTAGGTGGAGATTTCATTATCGATAATCCAAGCGGAGCAGTGGGGACACAGTCGATCCCGCAACGTGGAGGTAGTGGTGGTGGTGGTGTGAGAATCAGTTTTCGCGAGATTCACTCTTGCCTGAACTCGGAGATCATGTCCACCGGACAGAGGGGGAATGACGAAGGCGGCAGAACCTTGTTCATCTGGGGTCAATATGGTCTTAAAGATGTTAGGCCCGATTTCGCCTTGGCTCGGCCCCGTAGAGGGACTCCAGTATTCAAAAGAATGGCTAACTTCAAAAACTTCTACTGAAATTGAGGCAGTAGTATTGGGCACAGGAAAGTCTTCCAACCCACTTACTCGAACCCTGCCGAAGATAGGAAGGCCGGTTCGGTAGGCAGGATCAACCTTCAACTCGATTTTCGGCGCCCTATGGACGCGAATGCCGATTTGGGCAAACTTTGTAAAACCTGCAGGTGCGTCGACTGCGAACTCCTCTGTGACCTTGACGACTGCGCCGAGCTGTTGGTCCCAGTGGGTGCGTGCCCGTGCCTCTTGCATCAGGGTCCCTATCGAAGACTTAACCTGGACACAGCTTCCGTTTTCTGGGTTTGGTTCCAACAGTCCGCTTGCCTGGACACATCGACTGAGCACCGATTGAGCATTCGGTGATATGGAAAGGCAGGCGTTATCCTGAAATTGGGTGCCCAGTTCCTGCTGATGTTCCCACACGGATCTTGAACAGAAACAGACCTGGATCGCGAAGCGCCCTCGAAAGAAGCCGGCAACGCTAGTGTAGGCTGCACAGACGCGCAGCTGAAGGGAGTCCTCTGTAAGGCTAATCTCCTCAGGTGCCGTCAGTGATACAAGAAAACGCGGTACTGCACAACGCCGAACCTCAATCTCCAGCTCCTTCACTTCATACAGTAGCCTAGCAACGATAAGCCAACGACCTTCAATCACGACGTCGGGAATCCGGAAAGACAAATTGAGTGCCGTTGGCTGTTGGACAGAGGTCCACTCCTTGAGACGAGTTCGGTTGGGATCTTCTACGTAAATGCTGTCAAAGTACGGTGGAGTTTCACGCCGCCTAATCTCCTCCTCAGGAGTTTTCACGAGTTGAGGATAAGCATAGTCCAGCATGTCAATTCGGTAAGGTGGCCATACAAGCTTTCCACTGCTTCCCTGAATAGTACGCGAGTTGAGGGCTAGGAAACGGAAGCGGACCATCTCCCCGGGTCGGTATAGGTGTTTGTCCGTTTCCCCCATGAGGATAGCAAAACGTCTGGCCATATGAGTGTACCAGAGGAGGCTTTTACTCCTCTCCAGCCTGCAGTTGATCGGCGACGTTTCAGCTCCGAAGTTGTTGGCATCCAAACAGTAGTCATAGGTGATATTCAGAGTGATTGCGACACCCTCAGATACGACAAAGGGGGTGCGATAAGGCAGTTCGGTGACATAGAGACCTCGCAATGCTCTTTGATGTAGTTCCCTGTAGGAAGTCACCAAGGAGGCGTTGACTAGACCATGCACAGATCCTCCAATCACTATCCGCAGCAGGGGATGCTTGGAATGAAATTCAATTTTATTTGGCACACCGGGAAAGAGGGTTCGGGGCATGATGATGGCGACGGAGTTGTCGGCATCATACTTTGGATCAACGAAGGGCGAATGCTCCGCGAAGCTGACTCGGGATAGTGAAGTCCAGAGGGATAAACCCGCGAGCAGAGCCAGTATGGTGTTGGAGATCCCGGCCGCACTGTCCATCAAATCACGCATAAATGCGTGCCACAGCGCGTTACAGGGCCGAGCGTTAATTGGCCAAACTTGATGGCACCGTGATTGGCAGCCAGTGTTTACACCCTCCCACGCGAACCTGCGTGTTTGCGCGTGTGTGTGATGCGCACGTAGAAAGTGTGACAGCTAAATTTTAAATAAATTTCACTTTTCCAGGGCCTTGAAACTGCCGTCACACTGACTACCCTTAGTTATGGTGTGCCCTAGAATATGCGCAGATTCGGGAGGACCCTTCGGCCGGAGGTAGTTTTGTGTCCGTTTGCCAGGTGGTGTGAACGACATCGACCATTGGCAGAAAAAAACTAGAAGGTTTGTAGTACAGCGTTTAACTCCTTCGAGGACACGCTGGCATAAAAAAGAAGAAAATTTAGACGGCTTTCAACCGATCACCAACACAAATAAGGTACTTTAGGGCTTTGAGCATCTTCTCCCTTGTGCACTGATTTAAAGATTGCACAAACAGCAGAAAGTTCCATAAAGTTCGAGAGTGCTCATCAGCTGCTTCCTCTTGCTGCATAACATGAGTAACGTATGGGAAAATAGAAAAGTGAATTCGTACAGAAAAGGTTAATAAGGTCATATAAACTGGTCACGAAGGCCAATCAGTAACTTCAGCATATTACAACAATGTTGGAGGAAAAGTGGGGGAAAAACATTAAAACGAAAAGGTGGGCAAGAAAATGTGTAAATTAGGGAGCTGGATGTTACCCAGGCAAAGTTAGGTTAACCACATGCTACGACAGTTTGTAGTGGCCCTAGCAGCCACTTGGAACCCAGGACCAGCCGCAGACGCATGACTCATCTAGCCTGCCTGTGTGCCCACCGCCCCCTGGGGCTAGACGCTAACTGTCATTGGCCCACGCTAGTCTAGACATCAGCGGCCCCATTGGCCTCCGGGACAAAGCATTCGCCAGCGATTCCTAATGATCTAT